TTATGCCACTGATATTTAACATTTCAGTAGGGTGACCCATATTGGCCAGGTTCCAGTGGAAGTTCCAGGCCAAGATGGACTAAGAAGCAGGACATACACCTCAGAAATAATGGGGCCTCGAAAGCACGATGTTTGGCAGCAAAATATTGTCCAATATAGTACATGGGATGAGCTTCTTAGATTGGAAGGCACTCAAATCCAACTGAAGAAACGCCTCTAAAGAGTCAGATCTACCTTGAAGATGCAGATGGAGTAAATTTCTTCAAACAGTGAAGGACCTTCTGCATTTGCTGACGTAACAACAATCATCTGTTGATAACTAAACATGGGATTAGGAAACAGGAATGTAGGAAAATTCAACATTGATAAAAAGGAAATGGAATACATAAAGAAATGGTATGTCAGGCATTAGTGACCTGAAATTAACTAGTATTGGTCATTCTGAATCAGAGAGTCATAGGCTCTGCTATGCTGGAAATGACAAGTTGAAGAGGAATGATGTCAACAGTCATTATCAAAAAGAACATATCAAGATTGATCCTGAAATACAGTACTGTCAGTGTTAATACCCACAGACATACAAAGACCAATGAATGCTACTACAAATATATGTAACTACACCAAAGACGAAGGAATAGAAGGTTTCTACCAACTTCTACAGTCTAAAACTTTGCAGACATGTAATCAAGACATACTAATAATGATAAATGGAAAGCAAAACTTGAAAATAAAAAGTGGTAGTAGAAGTTAGAAATTATGGCCTTAGTGAAAGAACTCAAGGCTGGGCTTACATGATAGAATTTTATACAACTAATGATATAGTCTTAGCCACAGTTTGTTGTAATCCACACAGCCAAATGCCTCTGCATAATCAATGAAGCACAGATTCCTCTGTGGCTCTGAGAAAAATGGGGATCCCAGAACACTTGATTGTGCTACTGTGAAACCTATACTTGGACCAGGAGGCAGTCGTCAGAACAGAGCAAGGAAACACTGCATGGTTCAAAATTGGGAAGGGTGTACGCCAGGGATGTGTCCTATCTCCATACCTTTTCAATTTATATGCAGATCAGATTATCTGGGAGGCTGGGTTCCATGAAGAGAAATGTGGCATCAGGATTAGAGGAAGATTCATCAACAATCTACATTATGCAGATGACACAACCCTTCTTGCTGAAACTGAGGAGGCCCTGAAGCCCTTGCTGCAGAAGGTCAAGGACTACACCCTTCAATATGGGTTGAGGCTCAATATCAAGAAGACAAAGATTCTCACCACTGGACCCATTGGCAGCATCATGATAGATGGTGAAAATATTGAGATTGTTAACAGCTTTAATTTGCTTGACTCCACAGTCAACACTCTCGGCACCAGCATCCAGGAAATTAAAAGATGTACGGCAATGGGAAAGTCTGCTGTTAGGGACCTCTCCAAAGTATTGAAGAGCAATGATTTCACTCTGGAGACTAAGGTTTGCCCGATACAGGCCATTGTCTTTGCAATTACTTGCTATGTGTCGGAGAGCTGGACAATGACTAGGGATGACAGAAGAATTGATGCCTTTGAGCTGTGGTGTTGGAGAAGGGTACTGAATATACCATGGACTGCTAAGAAAACTAACGGGCTCATCCTAGAGAGTGTTAAATCAGGCTGCTCCCTGCAGGCAAGGATTCTGAAGCTCCTTTATTTTGGACATGTTTTAAGGAGGGACCAGTCTTTGGAGAAAGATGTTACACTTGGGAGAATGGAGGGGGAAAATGCAAGAAAGGAAGACCTCTATGAGATGGACTGATTCAGTGACTGGGGTAACAGGGTTAGGTGTGTCAGAGACAGTGAGATTGGCACAGGATAGAGCAGGGTTTAGGGCTGTTGTACAGAGTCGTTAGGAGTTGCAGGCAACTCGACAGCACAAAACAACAATGATATATTCAAGGTAGATATGGTGTTCTGGTGGTAAGAAGCTTTGCTGCCAACTCAAAGGCATGTACTTTGAATTCACCATTTGATTTATTAGAGAAAAATGGGCAGTCTCCTTCCATTTGCTTTACAGCCTCTGAAAGACTGGTGATCTATTAGTTGGTTCTGACTTGTAAGAGCACATAACATCAGCAAAAATTATACCTTCAATGAGATTACTTTTTTTGAGATATACTTTGGGCATGTTGTCAGCAGGTGCTGGTGCCAGTCAGTGGGAAAAGATACCAGGCTAGAAAAGTAAATTGTCAAAAGACAGAGGATGCTAAAGGAGTCAGGTTGACCCAGTGACAACCACAATGGTCTTAAGCATGTCAGATATTGTGAGGGTGGCACAGGATACGGTTGTTCACAGTTGCTATGCTATTGTTGTTAGGAGCTGTCAAGTTGAGCATGCCCCACAGTGACCCTATAAACAGTAGATTTGAATTGTGTCCTGCCCGGTGTCATCATTACACTTCTACCACACTCAAGCCGACTGTGGCAGTCGCTGGTCAATCCACCTGGTTGAAAGTCTTCCTCTCCTTCTCCAACCCTCTGCTTTTCCAAGTATGATGTCCTTCTCCAAGGTTTAGCTTCTCCTAGTAACATGCCTGAAGTACATGAGACTAAGCTCTATCATCGTTGCCTCCATGAAGCACTTCTCCACGACATTATTTGTTTTGGCAGTCCATAAAATATTCAGTACTCTCCTGATATCAGAGTTCAAAAGCATCAATTATTCTCTCATCTTTATTCACTATCTAGCTCTCAGAAGCATAGCAACTGAATGAAAAGACCATGCATGACCTGAATCAGGTGCACCTTAGGCCTCAAACTAACATCACTGCTCCTGAATGATTTGGACAAGTCTCTGACTGCAGACTTTCCCAGTGCAATACATTTCCTGACTGCTGGTATCAAGTACCATTGTGGATCCAAGTAAGATGAAGTCACTGAGAGTTTCAATCTTTTCTCCATCTATCACAATTTTTCCTATAGGTCCAGTGGTAAGACTTTGT